CCTTCCTTAGCCTGAGCTTGTTCTGCTTAGAGCACCTAGTCCTATCTAGAATCCTATTCTCCCTCTTTAAATGTTGCCTGATAACATCTGTTTTGGGAATTGTGTTGACATGTGGTTATATATCTTTTGATTGCCTGCCCTTCGGCATTTTAACTGGACCACAGAAATGTGTTTTAAATCGCCCCACATGATGGCCTCCCTTAATCAGAAAGGAGAAAAGAGTTGTACTCTGCAAAAAAAAAGTTAGCTGATTAATATAGTTATCCCTTTGCCATTACATTTGATATAAACTTTGTTAGATTACTGATGAAATACAAGGATCAGCTTACTACATTTAACTAGATCCAGGTCACAAGGCACCCCAAATCTGCCTCAAAACTTTATATTTGTGTACAGAACAAGAATAAATTTGTAGGTGTGTATCATTCTTTATTACTGATGCAGATATTATATTGCCAGAAAAGCTGGGACCTCTAAGAATTTGATGGTTTATACGGCATTTATCACTCTGTTTAAATTCTCATTGGACAAGAATCCTGTTTCCAAGGATATCTGCAAGAAGGGTGAAGTAGTGGTGCAGTGGTGGGTCCCGGATCCCATTGCAACCGGTACGCTGCAATGGAGCCCGGCGTCCACCACGTGAACGTGCGCAGCATGCGTGCAGCGTGTGCATGCGTACTTACCACCCACGATGCTCCAACTGCTCGGTGGAGTGTTGTACAGGCACCGTACGCTCCGTGCACATGCACAAAATTCCTGATCGGCTCAAATAGCGGTAAAGAGAGCGGGCGGGTGGGCGGTCCCTCCAGAGCACCGTACCAGAACGGTACCTGGTGCTCCCAGCAGGCACCGGTACGTCATATCTCACCACTGTAGTGGTGTCAAAAGAATCAAAATGGTAGGTTTAATAGTGTGACCAAAGGCCTGCCCCCTTTTCTTTATATAATTATAACTTTGTTATAACCTTTAAAAAGGAAGATAAAAATGACTGCAAACTCATATGAAGTAAGGAAGAAAAAAGAAATAGTTAAAAGCAAAAAAAGTATAAGGAAAAATAGAAGAAAAATAGAAAAGAAAGAAAAAATGTATGTTGTTCACAGCAGTTGTTACCCACAAATATATATTACCTCTCTCTCTAAAGTTGCATCATATTACTCTTATTTCTGTAGTCTATTCTGTCTAATTATCACAAGTTCCCTTTTTTATGTTTATACAAAAAGTCCATAAGAGGCTTTCTCTCATCTATAAATGTAAGTGAAGCTCCTCCTCTTTCTTACATGACACAAAAGAGGTGTGGCCTTTGTGGACAATTATGTGGTCGTTGCTGCCATTTTGACATTTTTATTCTTACTTCCCACAAGGTAGATTGGATTGAGACAGAATGATGTCCCCAAAGTGAGCTCCAGGTCAAGTGAGAACTTAGGCTCCCAAACTCCTTATCCAGCACCCTGAAAATTACATCTTCTATGTAATATATAACAGAAGAAAAAGAAGTTACTCAATACATAGGAAGTTATGTTAATGTCAAATAACAGAATATAATATTAATTAGATACGCATGAGTTCAAATTGAGTTTGGGCTTTTGGCTTGTTTGTTTTGTCTGTGTCTTATCTACTTGTTTATCTTGGACCTGCTTCCTTTGGGGAGTGTTGCTTTCAAAATGATAAATATTGCCAAACTTCTGCGTTATATGAATCCTTCTGCTTTTGACTGGTGAAAAAGAACAGAACAGAATAACAGAATTGGAAGGCACCTTGGAGGTATTCTAGGCCAACCCTATGCTCAAGCAGAAGATCCATTTCAGACAAATGGCTGTCCAGTCTCTTCTTAAAAGTCTCCAGTGATGGAGCACCTACCACTTCTGAAGGCAAGATGTTCTGGTTGTTTTCACAGTCAGGCAATTTCTCCTTAGTTCTGGGTTGTTTATCTCCTTGATTAGTTTCCACCCATTGCTTCTCCTCTTGCATTCTAGTGCTTTGAAAAATAGGTTGACTCCCATTTCTTTGTGGCAGCCTCTCAAATATTGAAACACTGCTATCATGTCGCCCCTAATCCTTCTTTTCACTAGACTAAAAGGTAAAGGTTCCCCTCGCACATAAGTGCTAGTTGTTCCCGACTCTAGGGGGCGGTTCTCATCTCCATTTCAAAACTGAAGAGCCAGTGTTGTCCAAAGACATCTCCGTGGTCAGGTGGCCTGCATGACTAAATGCTAAACTTCCCACCAAAGGTGGTTCCTATTTTTCTTACATGCTTTCAAACTACTAGATTGGCAGAAGCTGGGACAAGTAATAAGAGCTCACTCTGTTACATGGCGCTAGGGATTCAAACCACTGAACTGTAAACCCTTCCTACTGACAAGCTCAGTGCCTTAGCCAATTCCTGCAACTGTCTTGGCCTCCAGTCTCATAATCATCTTTGTTGGTCTTCTTTGCCAGTGAGTGTCGAGTCAAAGTAGATTTCACTTGTGGCTTCCTTCTTTGTAGGATTGACTGTGTAGAGGTGGCAAGGGGGTTGGCCTAGCAATTGTCTGTAAGTTCTTGGAAAACTGACAGTCACATAACTGGCCAAAATAATCCAATCAGTCAGTGCAGTGTTGCAATGTAGAGTTTTCTAGCAAACTTTTCTTCTGATGCAAGGAATATGAAACTATTAGCCAAATTATCTCCTCTATCTCTTCTTCTATTTCTTCATGAAACAATGTGTCTGAGAAAGTAAGCTAAGGCTTTAGGTCTGTGTCATTTTTATTCTACAAGACTTTTTGTGATTAATATCTGTGTGTCTCTCCATATTTTTATTTTGGGCTATTTGATTGGGTGGATATTCTCCTCCTCCTCTTCTATAATTTCTTTATAAAAAATTAGTTACAGCTGGACTTGCTTGAAATAACTTTTTAAAAGTGGGATATTAAGGGCAAATTAAGGAATTAATGGTCCATAATATATCAATTGATTTTCCCACTCTAAAAAGCAGTTCTGTTGAAAAGCATTTCTATCATTTCCATCTAAAGCTTGAGGGTCCTCTTACTTATTCTCAGAAGGTAGACTTGCCTGCGGTAGGGGTGAGAGATCAGGACTGACTTATTAGTGGTTTCATTCAATGGTTTTGAAACATGTCCATAAGATATGCTATATCTGGTTTCAATTTCATTTTCTTTTCCATTAAAAACCTCAGAGCTTCCTATGAACATTATCAGATGAGGAAAATGAAGTAAGAAAGAAAACTGTTTAATGATACTGGAGGAACGTGGTTCAAATGGGAAACCCTTATATATTTTGCCAGATTTAATAAAACACATTTATACCCTTCATAGCAGTTTCCTTCCATTGTTAACATCAACTCTGCAAAATGTTAGTCCTGACTCTGCTGAAATAACGCTGGATTCTTTCTGTTCATGACACATATCGGTAGTTTCCTTGTTGTTTGGGTTATTTTGATTCTGATTTTGCTAGCAAGGAGATGCTTGATTGGCCCTAAATAATTCCTGCAAAGCAGCTGAATCAAATAGCTTTTCATATTAGTATCTGGTCCTTATTCCCTTTAGATTGGAACTTCTATTAAAGCAATTGTGTTTATGAGATATTGTCTGATATTGTGCTAGCAAGACAAGGTTTTTTTCTTTTTTATACGGGAGATGAATATTAAATTTTCCTACGCACTAATTCCTAAAAGCACATCCAATGAGAAATCTTTCTTCCAAGACTTTTAGCATCTTTACCAGCTTTGTCATTTCAACTCAGCAATCAGATACAAGATATAAGTTGAAATGAAGGACCATCTCATTTATCATTGTATCCTAAGTGTTCTTAAAGTCTTTAGAACTTTAGAGAACATTCTCTTTAATTAGCCCACCTTAATAATACCACCATTTCCAACCATTGCTGAAATGCAAGGAATTCCTGAGTCAAATCCTAAAGAAAACTCCTTGCCAGGTTTTATATTTTTCCTGATCAACGGAAGCTTATATATTTCCAATTCAGGAAGAAACTATTCAGAAGAAACTAGTACTCAACAGAGCAATATTGCCTTTTTCATTCACTTTGATAAAATGAAATTTGCTTTACAGTTCTTACAAAACAGAAAAGAAAGAAAACCTCATAAAATGACTGAGAAATTAATGCAAATATTTCTGTATCTGTAATCGTTTAAATCTTTTGAATATGTTGCAAAATATCAGTTGACATATGTGATTCTAGGTGGCATACAATAAAGCATTATTTTAAAGCATTCATATTTAAAGATTATTTTCTTATTTAAGACTCAGCCTATTAAATGTGTTAAACTGGACAATGCTTCTCTCATATTCCTAGGTATTTCTATCATTTATTGTTACGTTTTTAAATAAGATCCAGATCAAGGAAGTAAGCTGCAAATTGCTTCTATTAAAATCACTGAGACCTGTTAATTGTGATTGAGTACATCATTAATTTCTTAAGGACTAAGCTTTAAAATGCACCCTTTATAATATGTATGATATGACACATTATCATGTATCATATCCTTTATGATATCCTTTAATAATTGGGCAAGAAATATATCTTTGAGAAAACATTTCAAAAGTTAGGAAAAAGAATGTCTCCGTCAGTAGCCCTTCTGCCTTGTTATTCATAGCAATTACTTACAATGTCTGTTTCTAACCAAGAGACCAAAGAAAAACATAGCCATTATCCTGATCTTCATGAAATTATTGAAACAGAATTGGTATATGTTATAAATCAATGATTAAAGACATCAAGAACATTCTGCACATTTGTCAAGAATTATTACATAACTCATGAAAGTTGATTTCCCCAAATATGACAGTCACCATTGGTCTCTGTCCTGGGATTTCCAATTATTTTTCTGAGGCTGGAATGATGTAAGTTGTAAGACATACAATCAGAACTAGGCAGATTGAGGAATGCTGTGAACATTTATTGTTGAATGAACATTTATGTGGTGCATGTTGCATAAATATAAACAAGAATGAGGAAACTCACTTCTTCATTTTTTTTCTCCCTAGGGTTTTGGTAGCCCCTCTGGTGAATATTGGCTGGGAAATGAATTTATCTTTGCAATAACCACCAGTCAAAAACATTACTCTCTAAGAATCGAATTAATGGATTGGGAAGGAAGTCGAGCTTACTCGCAATATGATAGATTTTACATAGGAAATGAAAAACAGAATTACAGGTGAGTGCCGATGTGATTTTACTTTTATGAGTGCCTTTTTAAATATGCACGTAACTGATCGGTCAGAAACCTACTGGCAACTTTAAAGTAAAAGAATATTGAATTTTGCTTTTAGTAGTTGGAGTATGAGATCGTATACAGAGGTAGGTTTCACATAATTTTACCACTGGTTTGCCACACACCGAAACTGGAAGCATGTGCGCCTTCCATGTATGTGTTTTGCTCATGTGTGCGGCTTGCACGGATTAGAAAATATGGCTAAATAAGACAATATAGAGCCGGGGGGGGGGTTGCCACTACCGGTTTGCTCAAACCAGTCCAAACCGGCTGAATTCCACCACTGCTCTTATGAATCTCCCTAGCCTAATTCAGACTATTCAGTATTGTTTATTCTTATTGTCTTCATGTACATCTGGGTAGACAAATAAGATGCTCTTATAGACCTATTGGGAGAATACACCCATTGGCATGCATTCCTTCAACAGCATATTCCCATTTTATGGCTGTAGCTTTCTAATTATATTTCTTACCATTCAGTTTGAACCATTTTTACTTTGCAATCAGTAAATATTCAGTGTCCTATTTCTTAGACTACTGAGTGTAAAATACTCTGGTAATATTTTATTTGAATTATTAAGAAATATGTTCACAGGTTGTATGTTAGAAAGACTATGTTATACATGTTTATGTCTATATGTAGTAAATAAGAGAATAGCAAATTTGGAAGGGACCTTAGAGATCTTCTAGTCCAACCCCCTGCTTAAGCAGGAAACCTTATACCATTTCAGACAAATGATTGTCCCATCTTTTCTTTAAAACTTCCAATAATTGGAGCATCCACAACCTCTGGAGGCAAGTCATTTCACTGACTGATTGTTCTAATTTACCAAAAATAGAGTTGAAGACCTTTAATATTATACTCCCTTCTTAACAAGGATTTCAATTATTCTTGGCTTGATTTTAACTTTAATTTCTCAGTGCGTATTTGACTTTCTGTTTGTTCAGTATTTATTCTTCTCTCTCTCTTTTCTATCCTCCAACCTATCCTTTTCTCTTTTTTCATTAGTATTTGAAACAATTATGGCTAAAAGCCTAGCTAGTGAAATACATTTGTCAATGCTCCTGGCAATCTTCTTCCCTGCATTTCCAGTTGTCAAATAAAACAGAGAGAATGTGATGCATCTTCTCAGTTATACAGCAACGGTTACTAATTAAAGGTGTAGGGGAGATGTGGGTAGAGTTGGAGATAGCTGTTGCGATTCCAAAAACCTCCAAGTGCAGCACAAAATGCACAGATTTGGCTTACAGTTGGGCTAAACTAGCTATTTGAACTTGGCTCAAAGTAATGCATGTTTTGCAAACACCAGAAAAATACTGTTGGTTTTTTTTGATCATAACGAAACCTATGTGTGCATCACATAAAACCCTGGAGATGAACATTTCCCCAAGATGGAAATAAGAGATTAAGAGCATAAATAAAGGTTAAGTTATTATTTTTCATTTAAAAGATAGTGATCTAATAACAATAGTCAGAGTTCTCAATTCTTACTCTAGCCAAGTTCAACATCTGATGGGACCACATAGTTTAATAGTCTTCACATTCTGGTTTATGTTTTCTTTCAGCCCAGCTATTATTTAATATAATTCCAAAGTTATGGATGACTTTCTCTCAGTGATAGGTGTGCCTCAAACAAAGACAGAAGTACTGCAGCCCTCAACAGCAGACAATATTCCTGTTCTTGTTAAATTTTGTCATGATTAGGAGGAGGCAGGTCCAAGGAAAGATTTATTTACAGCTTAACACTTAAAAACATCATCTTACATAGAGAAGATTTCAAGTTCTACCACTGCCATCTTGAGTTCAAGTACACAATTCTTTGATTAAATGCAACTTACAATAGTTCCAATCCACACATACCTATCACACGAGTTCAGGGCAAGCAACATTATGAATAATAATAAAAAATAAAGTAAAAACTAGTGGGTTAAAGTAATTAATACACAAAATAAGAAAAATAAATGTCACAAATGTGCTTTTTCAAGAGGCAACTGGACTTTCTTGTTTTTCTCTGAAGTTGTTTTGCTTCTCATCCACGAAGCTTCTTCAGCTCTAACTAGATGGTGGGGCGTAGAAGGATTCATATTCCTTGCAGACAGGTGGTCATTTGCATTCATTTGGAGAATTATTAGGGATGCTGTGGCTCAGTGACTAAGATGCTGAGCTTGCTGATCAGAAAGCTCGGCAGTTTGGCAGTTCGAGTCCCTAGCGCTGCATAACGGAGTGAGCTCCCGTTACTTGTCCCAGCTTCTGCCTAGCAGTTTTAAAGCATGTAAAAATGCAAGTGGAAAAATAGGGACCACCTTTGGTGGGAAGGTAACAGCATTCTGTGCGCCTTTGGCATTTAGTCATGCCAGCCACATGAGCATGGAGACGTCTTTGGACAGCGCTGGCTCTTTGGCTTTGAAACAGAGATGAGCACCATCCCCTAGAGTCAGGAACGACTAGCACATATGTGCGAGGGGAACCTTTACCTTTACCTTGAGAATATTTGAGGCCAGTTGGAGGTTTGTCTCTGTCCTCAGGGTTATCTGAGTAGAGTAAATGGGTGTGGCACCTTCTTGGAACTCCTTGAAGGACTGTGTTGTGGAGCTATGATTTCTGCCAGATGTTTTCTGTCCTGTGTTCCTTCACTGTTGAGCACACGCACAGGCTGTTGGGGATGAGCCTGTGTTGTCTACATCTCAAAGTGAAGTGCAAATGGTTCTTGTAGTCTGCAATTTTTCTGGAAATCCATTCTTATTCCCATACCATTCAAAGGGTGTCCATCCCAAAGTGCATAGCTAAATGTCTATGGAGAATCTCAATCATCCAGGTCATGGTTGTCCCAAAGGTGCATTTTCAAGAGGCAACTGGACTTTTTGGGGGGCGGGTTGTTTTTGTTTTTTGGAGACGTTTCGCTTCAACCTCCAAGAAGATTCTTCAGCTCCATAGATAAGAAAAATAAATGGACCTATACCTAAATCAGATTTACACAAAAATAGTTGCTCTCCATATATTTTCTAACCCTAGAAACTACAGTATTCTTGCTTCTATTACCTCTATGAGCTACTTCACACCTTGTTTACACTCTTTAAAAGTCTCTGTTCCCTTTTCCCATTTACTGAAGTTTACCCAACCACAATTTTTTTTGTTTTCCTCAGCCTCTCAATCAATTCATTCTTCCTTCATATTTTGGCTTAACAATTTTCAAACTTTATTCATTTTCTTTATATGATCAGACCAACTCAAGGCATGTATTTTTAACTGCTTATCCAGTTTATTATTCAATCCTTATTTAGCATCCATTCTTTTTTTTATTGTCTCTCTATTTACCATACATGTTTCTTAACTTATTTTCATATTGCTTCCAAATTATTCAGCGCCCGTGTCCTTATATCAATGAGGCAGAAGCATGCACATTTATACAGCTGGTTTTGTTTATTTTCACCAATATTTACACCTCACAACCAGGGGTGGGTTTCAACCGGTTCGCGGCAGTCCCTGCGAACCGGTTGGTCGCCGAACCCGGAAGTAAGTAACTTCCGGGAACGGCGAAGGCCCCCCCGCGCCCGCGCCCGCTCCCTACCCGGTTTTGACGAATTCTGTGCTTCCACGCATGCGCAGGATGCATACAGCGCCTGCGTGATCCTCCAGGAGCAGCTGGAGCATTGCACAGACGCTAGTGCGCATGCGTGCGCCACGTGCGTGCATGAGGACGCCGCCGGCCTCGTTCCAACCGAACCGGTTGGAACGGGGCGAGAAACCCACCCCTGCTCACAACATACTCACTATTACCTTCCAACCACCATTTATACATAATAAAATATCTCTATCCATTTTCTTAACATATTTTTTTAATCAAAGTACGCAGATTTATCTATGTACTCTCCTTTCATCTTGGCATAGCTTGCAATCATTTGCCCCATTTTCTCTCTCAAACACAATTGTCTTAGTTTTTAATAGAAGTTTTCAGATCCATAAACATGCAGTGCCCTCTCTGTGGGCATGTGAGCCATCGCCCGAATTCAGCTCTGCTGCACATGTGTGCGTGCCTCCTGCTGGCCAGGTCTCTGCCCTGCATGCATGGTGGGGTTAGGGTTAGGGTTAGGGTTAGGGCTAATGTGCGCATTGCATTTTGGGGGTTTGGGCAAACTTTGGGCACTTGACCTGGAAAAGGTTAGCCATCACTGCCATAGAGGTTATTGCCTTAGATTTTACTGCCTGAGATTTTACCAATGTTCATTTCTCCACTCTGACTCCCATCGGTTTTCAGCTGTTTTATTCTGAATATCTCTCAGGAGGAATGGCCTATTTATGTGCTGTCACTCATCCAAATGAATGCTGTTTCCATGATGATGAAATGATTCATTACAATAACGATTCTGCATCTAATTTTCTGTTTAAAAAAGGCATAGCAAATTCAATTCAAACACCACCATTTCCATCAGGAATAAAAATAGCCAACCAAGCAACTGGTTTCCAAGTTGCTTTGGGCATTTGTTCAAAGAATACTAAAATAGAAAGAGGAAAACAAAACAAAACAGAGTTGTGGGAGATAGGAAATATATATATATTTAAAGTCACAAATACAACACACACAAACACACACACACATATACATACATACATACATACATACATACATACATACATACATACATACATACATACATAC